GGAAAAAGAAGAAAAGCATTAATACTAAAACTTTTCCTTTAAAATAAAATGCAAACATAAAAATTAGACTTCAAAAACAAAAAGAAAGACAAAAACAAATTCCAAAAGGCCAAAGATCCAAATAGCTATTACAAAAAGTAAGCTAGTAAGGAGGGGGTTTGTTAAAGTAAGAAATAGCCCAGCTTAAAAAAAGTAAAAACTGCACCTTATTTAGTTATCCAAGGCTTTTGTTAAAATTTATAACTCTCTTCTCCAGAGTCTTATTGTCTTTTTTTTCCTGTAAATTTCAACACCAGACTCCAGATACTGATAGAAACCAAGAAGAGCACCTGCAATAATACTCTCCCATGCTCTTCCCTCTATCTTATCAAACAGGCAATGTCCTTGAAAAGAAGTGTCAGTATGCCACAGAAAAAAGATATTAAATTCAAAATGGATATAATTAAACATAAGATGGGTCAGGCGGAGAAAGAGGAGTTGGCACAAAAAATTAGAAGTGCCAAACAGAACTATTTTGAAGATGCAAATAAACCAGGTAGGTGGCTAGCATACAAATTGAGAAAGGAGAAAGAATCTAGGAAAATAGTACAGTTAATAGATGATAAAGGTCAAATTTGTTATGGTAACAAGGAGAAAAAGATAATTATCCAAGACTTTTATGGACAATTATATAAACAGGAGGATTTTGATGAGGAAAGAATTAAGCTTTATCTACAAAATGCTAACCTACCCAAGATACCTGAAGAGACTGAAAAAATGTTAGAAAGTACCATAACAATGATGGAACTAACGGAAGCACTTAATAGGCAGAATAATGGAAAAGCACCAGGCCCAGATGGGCTCCCGGCAGAATTTTATAAAACATTACAAGAATCGTTGAGCATTCCATTGTTAGAAGCTATGAATGAAGCCATGTTAAATAAGAAAATACCTAAAACATGGTCAGAAGCTTATATCACACTTATTCCAAAAGAAGGGGCTGATCCATCACAAATTAAGAACTATAGACCTATTTCTTTACTGAATGCAGATTACAAAATCTTTGCTTCCATCTTGGCAGAAAGGCTCAAAAGATATCTAAATAACTTTATTCATCCTGACCAGAATGGATTCCTGCCAAGGAGACAAATTAGGGATAATATGAGGGTAATTCTGGACACTTTGGAATATTACGAGGCACACCCTGAAAAACAAATGGCTTTGGTATTTTTAGATGCCCAAAAAGCATTTGATAATGTGAATTGGAGATTCATGTTTTTGTTATTGGAACAGATGGGCTTTGCTAGAAAATTTATTCAAGCAATAGAAGCCATATATGACAAACAAATGGCGAGAGTGATGATAGAGGGAGATTTTACAGATTCTATTAATATAAGAAAAGGCACAAGACAAGGTTGCCCATTATCACCTTTGTTATTTGTATTGACTTTGGAAGTGCTGAATAGAAACATTAGAGAGGATCCAAATATAAAAGGAATGAAAATTAAGAAGGAGGAATTTAAATTACAAGCCTTTGCGGATGATTTGGTTTTTATTTTGGAAGATCCTCTAGGAACAGCTTTAAAGCTACTGGAAAAGATAGAGATTTATGGTGAGATGGCCGGTTTGAAAATAAACAAAGATAAAACAAAGATCTTGACAAAGAATATGTTATTAAAACAAAGAGATGAACTGGCAGATTTATCGAAAATTCAAGTTACGAATAAGGTCAAATATTTGGGGATATATTTGACGTCAAGATGTACTACATTGAAAGAGAATAACTATATCAAACTTAAACAACAGATAGCATCTGATTTGAAAAAATGGGAAAATCTACAATTGTCATTGATAGGTAGAATATCAACAATCAAGATGAATATTTTACCCAGAATTTTATATTTATTCCAAACCATACCAATCAGGCTTGGTAAAGATTACTTTGAAGAATTAAATAAAATTGTGTTGAAGTTCATATGGCAAGGTAAGAAAGCCAGAATAAAATTAAAACTCCTGCAAGATGCTAGAATTAGAGGAGGTTTTGGCCTCCCGAATTGGGAGTTGTATTACCAAGCTGCAAATTTAATGTGGGTTAAGGATTGGATAACATTAAGAAAGACTAGATTGTTGACTCTAGAGGGGCATGATTTATTACTGGGATGGCATGCTTTTCTGTGGTATAAGGGAACCAAATCACAGGGCTATTTTAGAAGGCATTATATAAGGGAGTCTTTATGGTTGAATTGGGAGAAAATTAAGAGAAAATGTTATTTGAAAATCCCAGTCTGGTTATCAACTATTGAAGCTTTTTCGTATCCTATAATATATGAGAAGGAACAAACAGTTAGATATGGGGAAATATTGGATGAAAAGAGTGAACTTAAAACAATGCAAAAACTAGAAGAACAAGGCATAAAGATGAATTGGTTTTCATATGCGCAAATACATTCAAGGTATCTTATAGATTCTAAAGTGGAGGGATTTTATGATAAATTGACTGATCTAGACAGGATCTTGACAGGTACTGATGAAAAAATGATTAAAAAATTATACACTTATTTGTTGGAAATTTTATTAGAGGAGGAACAAGTTAAAGAAATGATGATTGTTTGGGGGAAGAATTTTGGATATGGGATTGATTTGGAGAATTGGGAAAAATTGTGGTCTCAAAATTATAAAATGACAATGTCAACAGCTTATAAAGAAAACTTGTATAAGATGTTTTACAGGTGGCATTTTCCCCCGACAAGAATTGCAAGAATGTTTAAGAACAAATCTGAAAAATGTTGGAAATGTCATCAGATACCTGGCTCATACTACCATATGTGGTGGACTTGTGAGGACGCTAGAAAATATTGGACTAAAATACGCATATGGTTGGAAAAAATGACAAAGACACATATAGACTTGAAACCAGAGATTTTTTTATTGGGAATCTTACCGGATATATATAATAAAAATTTAAAGTATCTGATTGTAAATATATTAACAGCGGCTAGGATTGTATTTGCTAAGAACTGGAAGAGTGAGAAAATTCCATCAGAAGAAGAAATTATTAAGAAAATATTGGATTGTGCTGAAATGAGCAAATTGACATTTGAAATCAGAGAACAAGAAGATAAACAATTTTATGAAGTTTGGGATCTTTTTTATCAATGGTTAGATAATAAAACATAATGATAGAATATTCAGATTTAGCATAAAAAAAAATTTTTTTTCTTAATATTATCTTTATAAAACATTATTAAGGTAGATTTGGTATGATCTTATGATTTATTGCAAAATAAATTAAGCAAACTATAGTTATCTCGTTAAAATATGAATTAACAAAATTAAAAATGATTTTTTTTTTTTTTAGTGATGATATTAGGTTATACAATTGTTGATTGATAATATGAGCTATTATGTAATATAATTATACTGGTGACTAGGAAATGGATGCACAAAAAAAAGTGGTAAACCAATCTATGCACTGTATGTAAATTTATGAAGAAGGATCTTTTTATGTTTTTTGTGGTATGTTTATGTTTATTTTGTTATGTATGTTTATGTTTATTTTGTTATTAAAAAATAAAAAAAAAATATTAAAAAAAAGAAAAGAAAAGAAGTGTCAGTTCTTTCTCAGCTTTGTCTGGTCAAGAGAAAAAATAGGTAGAAAAAAAACCAGTCCAGTTTCAAAATATAAAATCATATATAAAAAAATCCAGCAAAGAGAAAAAAAATGAAAAAAAAATTACTTTGACTTCCTGTTTAAAATCACCGCTTAATCACTTCTGTCTAAAATTTTACAGATTCTTTCTTTACCTTAGGGTGTCCTTTCAAATCTTAAAGAAAAGAAAAAATTCTCACCAAACCGGCACACTTTCTCTTTCCATTCTCTTTTGTTTCAGAGCTGTCCCAACTTCAGCAGCTTTAATGGCTTCCTCTTTGCTGCTGGAAGAAGAGCTTCTCCTGGATCTACCAGGGACTTTGCAGTATCCCTGGGATCTACAGGATGCACTCTTTACATTCACCATCTCTTTGGGATGGTTTAGATCCATTTGGACCATCCAGGAGCAAAGATATCTGCAGCGATCTCAGACCTCCAAGATTGCATGCTGTATCATAGCGATGCCAGCTCCACCCTCCCATTGCAGTCATTTCTTGATTTTGATCTTGTGAACATCCTACCAATTGAGCTTTCTAACCCATTATTAATTGTTTAGTCTTGAGAGCTTTTAAAACTCATGCTAGATAGAACAAGTCCAAATGCTCAGAAGACTAAATCTTTGGTCCCAGTGAATGATGCAGATTGAATCGTACAATACTACACCTATTGCCATTTATTTTTTCTGTTTCTTTTCAGACAAAGTCACCATATTTAATTTTCCTCCCTCCCTAAAAATGGATTGTGATGATGATGATGATGATGATTATTCAAGGTACCATGAATATTTGTATAGCAATTTGTATTGCAATTGTTCTCACAATTCCTCTTGTTATGGTAATTATTTCCATTTTTATGGCTGCCCATCTTGACACATCCACTCTGTGCAACTAACAACTGATAAAAATGATCACATAAAATAGCAGATTACCATCAATTCTTTGGGATTTGTTCTAAAGTTTCTTCTAAATGGAAAAATCTATAAAACTTTTCCTGAATTCAAATGTCTGGCATTTTAAATGTTTTCTAATGTGTATCTTTCAAACATTCTTTTTGCTTGATCATCATTTCTTCTCTTGAATCAGTTTTGAGAAATGGTAAAATTTTGCAAGTCCTTCTTGTAATCATTCTGCTGTAAAAGCTGCCTTCATTTTTCTTTCAGCTGGAAAGTTAATAAAAATTATCTGTACCGGAAGTGTGTAAAGACAACTATGAAATCCCTCCTCTGAGGAACTCTTTTATCTCAACGGATATGTAAATCAAGGCACAATTTCCCTTTTAAAGGCAACAGTTGGTTTCCAACAACACATACTGTGTCCATTTTCCCAAATCATCTCCTTTCAATTCTCTTCTATTCATCACAGAGAGAGCAAAAATGATGATGTTTCTAAACTTGTTATCCTTAATTGTACTCTTTGATGGTAATGTTTCTTTTCTATTCAGTTTCATTTCATATTCTTATATAGAGGCAATCTTATGGGTACACCTTTCTTTTTAGCTGTCCAATCTGACGTCCAGTTGGTGGAGTCTGGAGAGGATGTGAGAAGGCTTGGAGAGTCCCTCCATCTCACCTGCCAAGCCTCTGGATTCAGTTTCCATAGCTACTGGATGCACTGGGCAAGACAGGCTCCAGGAAAAGGACTGGAATGGATGGCATGGATAAGTCGTAATGGAGGAGAAGCCTCCTACTCAGACATAGTGGAGGACTGCTTCACCACATCCAGGGACAATGCCAAAAGCCAGCTGTATCTGCAAATGAACAGCCTCAAACCAGAAGACACGGCTGTCTATTACTGTGTGAGCGACACAGTGAGAGGAAGTGAATCTAAAGCTAAACAAGAACCTTCCTGTTTTAGAGCAACTCAGCAAATTGATTCAGCCCCAGATCCTGGAATAGCCAATGAAGATTCATGACCATATATCGAAAATTTTACAATATATTTTTGTTCTGGATGTTTAGCTGTGGAGTGTGCTAGGAGACAATGAAAAATGAGGAAAATGGCTTGAAAATTCCAGTTTCACCCTCTAACAGTTGATCTGGCTTTAGGAAAAGAAAAAAAAAACATACAGTGTATGGAATGTAGTCCTTAGTACCAGGGCCAAAGGCAGGAAATGAAACATTAGGATAACCTTCCTAAATATCCAAACTGCCATAAAGATATTGAGGAAATTTATGAACTGAAAGAATGCTGTTGCAGAATTAGGAAAGTATCTGCTTTCCTCATGTTTAAAACTAAGGGGAAACATTGTCCCATCAAACACCATTGACTATGTGCAAAGGGAGTTTGATAGGCAATAAAACAAGTCTCATTATATATTGTCTCACTTATTTTGGCCATGTCACATGGGGAATTCACTGGAAAAAACAATTATGGTAGGAAGAATTAGTGGTAAAAGGAATCTCGGCCATCAAAGAACGTGTTGGCTGGACAGTTTGCTCTGACAGCAGCCAGAGCATAGAAAAACTCAAAAGAAATAGTGCAAGATCAGAAGATGTGGAGAGACCTGGCTCAGAGAATCACCAAGCAACAAAGCAACAGAATGCATAACATCATCATCATCATTAGATAATGTCTAATTTTGGAGGAAGTATAGTTTTTGTTAGTTTTGTTATTATTTCCTCAAAATTTCTTAATTCCACGTATCAGGAGTCTACAATCCTCACTGTGAAGTTGAGAATGTTTATAAAATTATAAGTATCATTGTCACCAGAAAAATCAGTCCAGGTACTTTAAATCTTTGATCGAAATCAAAAGAACATAGAGGGAAGTTTTATCAGGTTTCATGGACAGGAAAAGAAAACAAATCTAAACAATGTTGGATACAGATATGTACACTAATCTGGAATTTTTTGAATGAAAAAGCTACAGTTGAAATCAATTAGTTTTCTTTTGGACTATTAGACAGGCAACTAGGGAAAAAAGTCATGAAGCTCTCTTTTTATATGTGTTAACTGCAAGGAGATTGTTCCAAAAATGAATAGTGACAAATAGTGAAGAATGAATAGTGACAACCCACAATGGAAAGATGAGCAGTGAAGATGAAGGAACCTGAAGGGAAGCCTCAACTAACATCTTTGATTAGAAAACACATTATGCGCATTTGCAGGAAACACAAATACAAGGAGTCATGATTTGTGGTTTTTATGAAGAAAAAAAAAGGATTGTAGAAAATCATGAGCTCTTTTTTTGTAAATATACGTAAAATAATAGTTAATATTCCATATGTACTTATATTTGCTGCAGAAGAAATAAGAAACTTTCTTTTTCTATTTCTTTTCAGTCTCTTTCCATACTTCAAAAGTTCCTCCTTCCCTCCCTTTGTTATTTTTCTTTTAATTTTTAGGATTGCAAATCTTGAGGAATCAATTGGGAGCAAGTAAAAAGTAACAAAAAGACCACACAAAATAGCCTTCAAAAAAACCCACAAAAGAACAAAACTATTTTGGTCCGCATTCAGTTAATTTTGGTTCCTTCAAAAGGTCATATTAAAAGGGAGGGGGGAAGTATAATACCTTTCTTGAACTCAGATGTGCTGCAGTTTTCATGATTTCTAAAATGCCTCTTTCAAAAGTTCTTAGTGGTTGTTCATGATGTGTTACTTTGAATTACTTTTGAGAAGAAGTAAAATTTTGCAAGATTTTGCAATTGTCCAGGCCCTGTGCAAATAAAACTATAAAAATCTTTTCTCTAAGGGACTCTTTTATCTCAAGCAATATGTAAATGAAGGCACAATTTCCCCTTTAAGGGCAACAGTTGACACCCACCGACACAAAGTTTGTGCATTTTCCGAAATCCTTTTCTATCATATATCCTGCATGTATTAGAGAGAGGCAGAAATGATCCTAGACCTAAACTTTTTATTCTTCCTTGTACTATTTGGAGGTAATTGTTCGCTATATCTAGAATTTCCTACCATTAGCGGTTCTTGTTTACAGGAGATCTCATTGAAATATCTTTGTTTTTAGGTGTCAGATCTGATGTCCAATTGGTGGAGTCTGGAGGGTGTGTGAGAAGACCTGGGGAGTCCCCCATCTCTCCTGCCAAGCCTCTGGATTCACCTTCACAGACTATTACATGGGCTGGGTGAGACAGGCACCAGGAAAAAGATTGGAGTTTGTTGCAGATATTTATTATGATTCCAGGGAAAAGTTCTACTCAGAAAAAGTCAAGGGCCGTTTCACCATTTCCATCAACAATGCCAAAACCAGCAATATCTCAAAATGAACAGGCTCAAACCAGAGGATAGGGCAGTCTATTACTGTGCAAGATACACACTGAGAGGAAGTGAATCTGAAGCCTGTCAAGAACTGATAGTGTTTGGGGATAAACCCCCAAGCAGAGTATGCAGCAGCAGTCAAGCCAGGCAGGCAAATGAGAGAGAGAGTGGGCCCAAGAGTATACACACACTGGAGACAAAAACACTGTTTGTGGTTTTAAAATAGTTATTTAATACACACAGAGATTAAGAAGTGTCATTCAGTCCATATATCATTATCCAGTATATCCATCCAGTTATCAAGTCCATTAACAGTAAATACAATGTCCTTATCTGCTTGTAAATCTTCTCCTCCCGATACCTTTCTCTCAAAGACAACACTGAATCCTCAGCTCACCAGGCAAACAGTCCTTGTGTTCAGTTGAAATGGTATCTGGCACAGTAGCCTCCAAAAGCAAGCAGATAGACGTTCCAGCAGGCAGCAGACCAGGAACAGAACCAGGTGCATCCAGAAGCCGGGTCTATTACGTTTCCCTTCCTACCTTTATGGCTGCCTGAAACCGCACCAACAATGACATTGCAGTTTCTTGTGCTTAAAGCTACAAGACACTTAATCCTAGGTTTACATATTTATTCAACCCAAACCTGGTTGGTGTATCCATATACCCAACATTCTCCCCTTTTGGGTGATATAAATATGTAATGCCTTTACATTCTAAACCCATATTTTTCACAACTCTCTAGATGCTTAATGGCACCTTGGGCTTTAGTAAAATGATCAGCTACATTGTCCTCCGACATGCAGTACTCCAGCTGTATCAATTTACTCTGTACAGATTGTCTTACATTAAGATACCTCAAATCTGTATGTTTACTTCTCGTTTTAACTGCAATATTAGTGGCCATTTGAATTGCTGCCTGATTATCTTCATGTACAACTATAGGGTAAGTTACAGTTATACCCATATCCTTCAACATTTGTTTGTACATAATTAACTCAGTACACAATAAAGATAAACAGGAGAATTCTGCCTCCATAGTAGACAAACTTATATGCTGTTGCCTTATTGACTTCCAGCCTATTAACGTCTTACCCAGCATTATGGCTGTTCCTGAAGTCGACTTTCTAGTATCTCATTCTGCTGCAAAACTAGCATCTGCATAAGCACTCAATATGAGATCACCTTTTGGTTCTAAATACAGTGCATGGTGTAATGTTCCTTTAAGATACCTTAGGATTCTTTTCAATGCTATCCAGTGACATTGAAGCGGATCGTTATTGTGTCGTGCCAGCTGATTAATACTAAAAGCAATATCTGGCCTTGACCAATTGCTAATATATGATAAGCTACCAATCAAAGATTGATACAGTTCCTTATCACATTTGGGACTTTGAGTATCCATTTTGCAAATATCCTGACTCATTGGAGTCTTTGCAGGCTTACAAAGTTCCATCTTATAATCTATTAGCAATTTAGATATCTTATCTTCCTGAGATATCCTAAAACCTTTCTGTGTTCTCAGTATATTCAATCCTAGATATCTCTTTATCTCCCCTAATTGCTTGATTTTTATTTTCTTGGCTAATGATGTTATTATTTCATTTGCTTCATCATTAGTCTTAGTTATCAGAGCAATATCATCAGTAAACAACAATAATAATGATATTTTCCCATTCTTTTCTCTCTTAAATAGACATGGGTCGGCTAAACCAGCTTTAAACCCTATATTGTTCAGTTCCTTTACAATATACTGGTTCCATTCGTAGCCCGATTGTTTAAGACCATAAAGGCTCTTCTTTAATAACCAACAATCATTATTATTGTCTCCTTTAAATCCATTAGGCCTTGTCATATACACAGTATGTCTTAGTGGAGCATGCAAGTAAGCAGTTTCCACATCTAAATGGTTAACTATATATTGCTTGCTTGCTGCCCACACTAATGCTGCCCTTAAAGTTGCTGCTTTCAGACTAGGTGCAAATACTTCATCATAATCATTTGCACTTTGTCTAAAGCCTTGGGCTACTAACCTTGCCTTATGGATTGAGTTTCCATCCTTATCTGTTTTTATTTTAAAAATCCATTTGCAGCCAATGGGTTTTTCATTACTAGGTAATCTCACGTTTTCATACACTTGCATATCCTTCAAGGATTGTAATTCCTTATTGATAGCTGCATACCAATTTTCTTTCTCTTTAGAAGGATATCTTTTAATCTCATCCACAGTATTTGGGATTCTATTTTCCTGGCACACTGTATTAGCCTGGTATCTATCAGGCGGTTTAGATATACGTGTAGTCCTTCTGGGTATTACTGGGCTTGGTTGAGTTACAACCTGTTCCTCATCCTCAGCTATTTCTTCCTCTAGGGGCTGTTCTTCTTCCTGTACTTCTTCCTTTACATTATTTTTAAAGTTACAGGGATACTTAATGGGATTTCTGTATGATTCAATAATCACCTCGTTATTGCTATCCTGTTCTAACTTATCCCATCCTACGTGCTCTAGAAATTGGGCATTAGCACTACATAACACCTTAGATGTGCCTTTCTCCCAAAATCTATATGCCCTATGGTTAGCTTGGTAACCAACGAAGAATAATTGTTTATCTCTATGTTGCCCTTTACGCCTGAGTTGTGTAGGGATATGCACCCATGCTGGTGCACCAAATGTGTGCAG